TTCTACATTGCAGATGCGGCCCGCAAAATCCGGCTGGGAGAATCCCCGACGGTCCGGGTCTGCCCGCGCCTGCCTGTAAGGGCAGGGCAAAGGGGAGAGGTGGAATGAGAAGGGGATAAAACCCAAGAGAAACGAGGATAAGGCACCTCGCTTCCCGGTGAGACCCGTTTTGGGTGAGAAAAGGGGTGTCGGGGTGTGAGGTGCCACCTCGGTGGGTGAGGCTCAGGATCCAACCTGCTGCAGGGCTCAGGATGTACATGAAGGCATCGGGATTAATGCTGAAGAAAACCAGGAAGCCAAGTGCAAGTCATCCCGCAAACAGCACTTGGGAAAAACGCTCCTGCGTCTCAGCCAGAGACCAGAGCAAGGGACAGCAGCCAAACCAAACAGCTCCTGGTAGGATCCCTGCAGGACGACTAAGCTGCAGTGCTTGGAAAGGAAATATTCTCTCCTCCAACTTATGGATGCAGGAGAATCCCCCCCAAAAAAATAATCTACCTGCATCTGGAATCTCTATGTGAATTGCAAGAAGGCTGCCTGGCAGACAGGGGGGAAGCTCCTGGATAAAGGAGGAGAAAGGCTGGTGGATAAATCGCACCCTGCAAGTGTCCCTGTCCCCTCTCAGCATTTTAAGCAACCCCTTTACTCACCAGGAGCGGCCACTCAGCACAAACACAAGCGCGACCGGGTTTCGTTTTCTTTTGTTTTAATAGAAACATCCTAGAATAACTTTGGGAGGGGATCGGGCTAACGGGAACGTCTCTTGGAATAAAACGCTGAGGAATGGGAATGATGTGCAAAACGCTGAGGCTTCGGGAATGATGTGCAAAGTGACAACGTCCAGGCGGGCTCAGCTCAGGACTTGCTGGATTCTTGGGCCTTCTTGATTTCCTGCAAGGAGACGAGGAAAGAACTGAGCACCCGTCGCTCTCCGGGACGGTGACAGGCAGGAACCCCCTGGATGCAGGACTCACCTCCAGGAGTATTTCCTTCAACTCGGAATAGGCCTTTTCTAGATCATCATTAATAATGACCAAGTCAAACAGGCCGGGCTCTTTACCTAGGGAAGGAAAAGAGGGTTTAGAGGGGAACACGCTTCTTCCCTGTGTCCTCTCATGTCAGACCCGAATTCCTTAGGCATTTAGGACTGTTATTTCAGCTATTGCTTCTCTCTACCAAGCATCCACTAGGAATTGCAAAGGGAAATGCTTTGGTTGAGCCTATCCAGCTCCCAGCCCCAGCCAGCCCTCCTCAGAGAAGAGAGAGATGCCCTTAGGGTAGAAAAGGCCACCTAAGCCACCAATGTCCCCTCTCTCGAAGGCCGCTGGACTTACTAAGCTCCAAATCTACGCAGGCGGCGGTCAAGCGCTTCCGTAAACTTTCTTCTGTCTCAGTCTGTCGCTCGCGAAGTCTTTTTTCCTAAACCCAACGTTAAATATGTTAAAAGCAACGTGTGTTCCGAAACCTGAGGGCAGCCAACACCAGCCACCCCGTCCTCTTAACGGCCACTGCCCCCTGCAAGGGGACACATTCAACCACAGAGCAAATCAGGGTTCAAGTTTCAAGTATCTCTTTCCACTGCAATCCTTTTTTTTTTCTTTTTTTAATTATTATTATAATTATTTCTTAATCAGCAGCTGGGCCTGGGAAGTGAAATCTCTCTGCTGGAGGAACCAGACCCAGGCTGGGATCCAGGAGAACTCCAATGTTAACTCCAATGGATCTAGAAACCTGCCTCGCTACAAAAATCTCATCTTTACCAAGGACGACCCATGCTTTTTACAGCATTTTAAAGGTTCTGATGGAGTTGAGAATCCAGACAGGGGCAAATCACACTCCAAAGCGTGGAAAGAGACTGGAGGGGAGATCCAAGCAGCACAGAGTGATGCCTTACTGGAAGCCAAGAGCTGGTGCTGCAGATTGAGCAGGGGTAACAGCACACTCAAAACCAACCCCCCATCTATTGGGCAGTCCTCTAAAATATATTAAACAGTGAGGGGGGACCCTCATGGCTCCAGAGCGAGATGCTGATTACCTCTAAGTGCCTAACAGCAAAGGAAGGCAGCCGCTCACCAAGACATCCAGGGACGGCGGCTGCACGGAGATGTAGATGGGGTTCAGCTCTGTCCTCTTGATGTTCTTCACGCCCTGGATGTCGATGTCGAGGACGCAGATCTGGTTCTGGGCCTGGATGGCCTGCACGGCGCCTTTGCTGGGGACAGGGAGAGAGGGACGTGGTTATTCTGGGGCTAGGAGGGTGGTGGAGCTGCAAGGAGGGCGCTGGGAACGGGTACCGTGCACCTAACCCCCCTGCAGCGGGGCTGAGACAGGATCCTGCCTTCAGAAGAAGAGATTCTGCTCTACAGCAGCAGCCTCAGAGAGCAAAATGCTCAAAACCTGCCCTGGAGACCACCCGTTTCCATACCAAAGCCCTCAGCCTGTCTCCCACACTCTTAATTTCAGCCCCTCGTTAAAGGCAGCTTCTGAAAAGCCCCAATTTTGGGAAAGAGGGCTCAGCATTACCCCAAAGACATGGTCCTTGCAGGGCTCCTAAAACAAGCACTTCATTTTTAGTTATTAATTATTCTAATTAGCTGGTGGGATTTAGCAAGAATAAAGCGTTGGCCAAATCTTCAAGTTTTCTGTTTAGCCTAAGGGTCCCTCTCCCCCATCTTATCAACCAACTCTGATTATGAAACATCCTCAGGCACTTAAACAGAAAAATCCTCGCTTGAGTGGTTCCAGTATTAATTTTGCTTGAAAACTTTCATATATTGCTGAGTTGATCTGAGTTCATTCCAGCTTTTCTCCCACCAGAGCAGACTAGTGGTCCATGTGACCAGCAAGAGAAGTGAAAAACGGGGAGAAAAGCCCTTCAAAACTGAACCCAGTTGGGTTATTTATACCTGCAGTGATTAGGGCATTTTATCTACCAAGACCTGATGTTTTTATGTTTATTTAACCTACCAGCATTAGCAGGGCACATCCTTCTCCAGCAGTGACAGGCACAAAGCAGCAATCGGTCAATGTGAGGAGGCAACACGAGGTTTTAGCAGGAAGGGAAAATTCCCTGCCTGCCTCAACCCGGAGCCTTGTTTCGCTAACCGGTCTATGTAATCAGGGCAGAAATGCCCCCAGAGGCTTCTCTCAGCCTGGACAACCACAGGGAAACCCTACAGAGCCACCAGAGATCACAAGGAGATGCCTGGGTTGATCCCATTCCAAGCGTGACACCTGCACCGACACCCCCACGCATCCCGTGCTGCCACATGCAGCTCCATTTCCAGGCCAGGAAGATGGTCCTTTGGGCTCTCTTAACCGATTCCACCCGGATTTGGTGAAGGAAATATCTTAAAATAGCCAATTCATCGAAACACCACCAAAAGCAGCAGGATGGGGAGATCCCTGGTCAGCCTCCATCCTGAGGAGCTTTCCAAAGCATTTCAAAACTGCTTTCCAAAATGCTTCTCAGGCAACTTTCTCTAATTTAAAAGATTAAATATCTTGGAACTTGCTTAACTTTCCTCCTTGAGCTGTACCACAGTGCCACACTTTTCTAGCAATAATTATGTAAGATTATTTGACTTCTAATTAACATTGCAGCTTAATGTTTTATTGATCCCTAGCTCCAGTGCCCACAGCAATGCTATTTTAAAATCCACCCAACTCTTTAACCCTGGTCAAGGGTGCCATGCAATATATCTGCTGGTAAGCAGTTACTTTTCCAAAAAAAAAAACCTGCATTCTTGTTTCACCAACACGTGTGTGATAGCATCTGCTCCTGAGTGTCATGTTCAGACCACAAAATGACATGGGGATAATGCACAATAAGTGTTCATCTTGCCACTAGTCTCTGCAGAGCACTTGGGGGATGTTAAGAAGCGCAAATAGTCTCTAAAAATCACCCTTGTGCAAGGAAAGTGTTAAGTATAGAAACTCCTTCAGCAGCCCCCGAACACTGAGGGTAACAGAGAATCCCATGTTGCAATGAGGAATTAATCATAATGAGGTGGAGCTTTGTGAGAGTTGATTTTGCTGCTTTAATAGTGACCAGATATGGCTGGCAGGTCCCTGCTACCAAAATGAAAGGCTTATCTAAGGCCAGAATCTGTGCATTTGGGGAAAAACAGTGCCACTAAGTTAAAATATTTCTTCCT